ACCTCTGTCAAACCAGTTGTTAGAGAAGACAGAGCCTTCCTAAAGGCCTTCTACAGGATTTTTGCCACGGGAGCAAATAGGGCTCGGGAGATTAAATGTGTAAGGGTTGTAAACAGAGCACTTGGGAAGGAGAAGGACTGTATAATCAGTGTTTAGGTCTTGCCCCTAGCCCAAGACATGATTGCACTTGTAAAACCTCACAATCCACCAGTTTTCTTCCACCAATGCACTTGCTATGTAATTTGAAAATGGAGGGAGTCTAAAAACTGACACAGTTTGCTGGTCATGTGAAAATGGTAAAGATTCAGAAGTGATTTCTTCTCAGACTGAACATGGAATTTCTGAAGGAGGAGCACAGTCATACTCAGAGCACTCCTCTGCTTCACTGCAGCATCACTTTCTAGAATCAGTCTAGCTCCTACCTGGCCTGGCTTCCAGAAAGAAGCATGAAGAGCAGTAAGTGTATCGTCCTATTGATAATTACTGGCTTCAGAAAAGCTGGTTAAACATATTTTATTTTCCTGGAGAAAATATTGATGAAAACAAAGTTTTAAGCAAAAAAAAAGTCAGATTTTTGATGGAAATTTGTGTAGCAAAAATTTCAGTTTAGAAAAAGCACCTGGATGCACAGGTGAGTTATTATACGGTTGTTCATGCTTTTATTCTCTTTTTTAGTTTGAGCTTACCAATCAGATTATGTTTCCTATCTTTGGATAGAGAAAGTAGGCAATGAGTACTGCATTCCGTGGTCCCAGGTCGCGTAGAAGCCTGGACAGGAAAAGGATTGGGAACAACAACTCCCATGAGACATAAGAGCAGCATTTTACAATCAACATATTTCAATTTTTCATTAACATATTTCTGGGATAGCTAAAGGCATTCTGAAGGAAAAAATCTGGTTTATTGAAATCGTACTTTTTTCCATTAAGAAACAACTTGAGCAGAGAATTTCCATTTTTACTCCTTCAATTTAAGAACTTTTACCTGAAATATGTTGTATTGTTCTATTTCCTACTATTGCCCTTCATCTGCTTGTTTTAAAGAGGTTTAAGAACCATTTCTGGTGAAAGCATCTCCCAAGGTTACACCAGAGGTAAGGAACCTGTACAGTGATGAACAAAATGATACAATCCTTGTATTGCCAAGGAGCAACTGAATGAAGATGTCAGGTGCTTGTAATCTCACTTATCTATCTGCCTTCTCTGGCCACAAGAAACTATTCTATGAACCAGAAAATGCATGTTTGTTCCTGAAATCCCAAGAAAGAGAGTCCCAGTCCCTTATTCTTCACCACCTGCGCAATGTTTTGCATACAGCTGTGCATCACCCAGACGTTTTCTTTTCCTCAGTGGGAAGAGACTGCTTTCATTATAAACGTCCTTTCTGAGGTCATGGAGGGGGAAAGCGGCTTCATTCCTGCGTTGTGTCATCCTGTCCTGTCCCTATCCCCCGCAAACCCTTCCCCCCTGCCCAGTGCAGATTTACATATGAGAAGTACCTATTACAACATTCTTTGATCCTATTTGAGTCAACAAATCCATGAAACTAAGCCCATGTTACTGTAACACACAATATGTCATTGTGATACCAAGCTTAACATAGCAGCTACTCTGAAAGGCTTAAAACCAGATTATTGCCAAAGTGTATCTGATTTTTTAAAAAAATGAAATGTATTGCTATAAAGAAGACAAAATATTGCAAAATGTTTCCATGTAACTGCTGTCTTTTGAAGTAAATTGTCCCCTGCAAGAAAGTTCTGCTGAATTGCCTGCCAATATATCACCAACTTACATTAGGCTGTAAAGGGCAAGTGAGTTTCCACATCAGAAATGCTGCAAACATGAGGCAAAGAGACAAGCAGAGTTAAATATGCCATCGCTGACATAATTTCTATGTTTCTGGTGCTTTAGTCAGACCATACCCATTGTGGTAACGTTTTTTTTCTTGCTTGCTCAGTTGCTCACTCTCTGTTTCATGTCTCATTGAAATAACTACCAAAGTAGTTTCTCAAAGCCTGTCATCAGTCTATACTCCCAAGAACTGACATTTCAACCTGAGTATGTTGAATTCATTGACCTGATTTCTTTTTAGAGTTGTACTTTCTTTATATGACTGGTTTTACAAGAGACCCACGCCGTGGAATGCCCCAGTCACCTTTTTTTCCACAGCAGTAGCCTTCATGGCCTGAGTAAGAGCTAAAACAGAGTTTAAAAGGTGCTTATATACCTAATGATGCAATTGGTTGTTTAGTATGGAAATTTTAAGGCATCTGGGAACCTGGCTCCCACCTAAACCTACAAATGCTGAAATGGAAGAATGAAATTTCAAATTGTGCCTGCATGATATGCAGTCCCTGGGTTGGCTGGATACAACTCAAAGATTTCTTTCAGCCTGTGTGGACCAAGATGCCACATGTGCTTTTCAGCTCAGGGACTGTGATTTTCCCAATCGTAAAGACAAATTGGAGGGGTAGGCTGGCCACTTCAGTGAGACAATGACTCCCTCATTTTACTTCTACAACATAGAGCAGGCTGTAACCACTAACCACACCAATAATCTGAGGCGACACAGAGAAAAACCTCCCACAAGACGTTGCTCTACAAGGAGGAAAATCTCCTTCTAGGTCTTCTGCACAGCAGG